TGTACACCAGACGAGTTTGTAATTGGGATTTTGGTGTCTTTCCAGATGGGAGAGTTGCTCAATCTATCTGTGCCGGCGCTGAAAAGATGAATGAGTTTGAGATTTTTCGCTTTCTCGGCTGAAGGGGGAAAGGATGAGAGGGTAACGAGTATCGTTGCATGATGCCAGGTTTCTGAAAGGTGGAATGATATTGTTAGAGAACCCCGATACCCGGAATATTGGGAAACGAGAAGGGAATTGACAGGACAAGCAACTTACCATCCGGCACATCCGCAAGCTCCAATGCTTTCCCTACGCCAAAGAATATCTGCTTATATGTAATCTCCACGTTATACTTCTGTCTCAACCTATCCAAAATTGTGGCATCTTCTGGAAAAGGGAGAAGACATAAAATATGCTCTTGTTTTTGAGGAACCTCGCCCATGATTGTAGATGTAGATAAAGTTAGACGATCAGTGGCAATTGTGTATATAAGATGTAGAGATAATCGATATCAGAAGCTCGAAAAAGGGCAACAAAGCTTTATATATCGAGCTTACAGACGATAGGATCAGAACGAGATGATAACGTAATAGTATTCCATACGTTAATAAAAGTAAGTCATCTCACACGGAGAGATATTAGTGGATATTTATCAGAAAAGCATAACGTGATTTATCAGTGTGCGGGTCATATCAGTGTGCGGGTCATTTTCACCTCAATTCACTCTTTCAAACTCATATTATTCAACAACCATTGAATCAATTGATTAAAACTATGAAAATTATAATAATCTAGGATCTATTATATTATCTTGACAAGTTCTTGCATTATGTCCGGTCTTTCCGCATTTACTACAGCATCGACTAGAAGATGCTTCTTCATTAGAATTCCTCCCTTTTTGACGCTCGTCGCGTTGAATCTGAATATCAACCTCTTGTTGAGATAATATATCAAGAGCTTCTTGCCCAGTAAGTACTCCTCCTTGACGTAATTGGGTTTTTTTCGCGCGTCGACGCTTGCTTAATGCCTCATTTGCCTTTCGAAGTGTACGAATCTCTGCATTCAAAAGTGTATTCTCATGAGCTAATCTCTCTGTACCTTTAGCTAGAGCTAGTACAGTCTCAAATATAGGTGTAGGGGAGCTTGATTGATGTCGGGTTATTCGAGATTTCACTAAAATTGATTGAGAAAGAGCTTCAGTTGGGTTGTGAGGGGTTTGAGAGATCCATTGATCTAGATCGAAAGAGGGAGGGGTAGGTGTACGAATTCGAATATCTAACTTCGAAAGTACGGCTTCAGGGTTAAATGGTATTAAACCTGTTCCTCGAAATCCTGATTTCATATTCTGAGAGATGATTGATTCTTTATATGCAGCTTTAAAAGCTATAAAGAATTCAACCTTCGAAATATGATTGATATGTGCCTTGATAAATCCATCAATTTGACCACCATATGAACGTTTCAGATTGCTAAAACAGCCCACATCAAGTGGTTGAGTTAAATGACTTGAATGCGGTGGTAGACTTAAGCATATAATATCGTTCTCTTTGCAATATGCTTGAAAAGCTCTTGATTCATGGCTTTCATGCCCGTCTAGTACCAACATTCGATACCTGCCCTTTCTTCGGTTCTTAGTGTGCTTGTCGAAGTGTTTCAACCATTCTAAACCTGTCTCATTGTTTGTCCATCCATTAGATGTAGGTTTAATAGCCCAATCCGCAGGAAAATCGGTTTCGGTATACCAATTGGAAAGATGAACCTGTCCTTGAACCACTAGAAATGGGGGTATAGTTTCACCCTCCCCATTGCCACATATGATTGCTGTAGCCCATTCTCTATTGCCTGGTTGTATTGCCTTGCTTCTGCCATTCCGTTCAGCACTAGTTACTACCATTCCGGGGCATATTATACCCATCATAAAGCCCGTCTCATCGAAATTGTAGAAATCGCCATCCAAAATGCTGTATTTCGCTCGCATATTCGCAACCAATCGAAACCACTCTTCAATAAGCTTAGGATCTTCGCAGAGAGCTCCTTGAAAGTCATAAACACGACTAAAACGCGTCTTTAATTCGATTCGACGCTTTACGAATCGATGCGCCCAGAGCTTCCCAACGCGCTTTGCACCCCTCGATTCAAGAATATGATTCGCCATATCTTCTACATTTCTTAATTTAGGTGGAAATCCTCTCAAATCCATATCAATTATATATTCAGAAATGATATTCTCTTCTAGTTCTGAAAGATTATAAGATTTAGGTCGATATTCGGAACGGGAAGTAATACCATTAATTCTACGCTGTAGTGTTGTATTCGAGATATTATATATCTTTGCAACCTTTCGAATACTTGTTTTTTTGTCTTTTTGAATAGCTTCGATAGCGAGGAGTATACGGGCTTCTTGATTATTCGAATCCATTGTGGATTGTTGATAAAAACGCGTATTGAAAGAGAATAGAGTGAATTGAGGTGAAAATGACCCGCACACTGATATGACCCGCACACTGATAAATCACGTTATTTGGATTTATCATCCAAAATTGGGTGCTCACCGAAGTCGCACCCATTCGTCTTTATCGAGTGAGCACTCGTGTCTATCTGAGCATTTTTGTGGTACAGTCACAACCCGCTGAGAGTAGTAATTAATCCAATTACCCCGCTGCACCTCTCAAGGTTTTCGGCGCTAAGATAAGATAAGAAGTCGCATGAAATTTCCTGATAGGCTTCTGATTCCATGCGTGAATGACAAAAAGATGCTCAATTATCACGATATAAGATTACATCTGATTCTGTGAGATTCTGTAACAGAGCAGAAGAGTTGCTAATCCAATGCAAGGATGACGGAAAGATTGATATTGGATCACGATGTTTAGTCAATTCGGTAATCTTCGTTCGAAGGTCATGAAACAATATCGAAGATGCTTGAGTTGTACTTTATTCCAATTCTTTGAAACCTAAATCTATTAAATGAGAATCTATTGCGAAGGTTGTTTGCGAGCCATTTCATCATGCTCTTCAATATCCTGGGCCTCCCATGGATAACAGATCCATACATCCTCAACAGTTCTTGCGGCGAGATATCTATCTTCCTTCAACATATCCTCAGGGAGCGTACCCTTCTTTTCCTTGTTCTTGTTCTGTCGATTTCAACGCATTAGTAAATTCCCTTTTTGATCGCGCATAGCAAAAATCGATGAATCACTTACATGTAAAACAAAGATAGAGAAGACAGTCTTGTCTCCTTGACCACCCAACTTCTGTCTGGCAAGCTCAACATCCTTCTCCAACTCTTTAACGGCATACTCCAAAGTGGTACGTGTATCATCAACTTCATCGACGATCAAAATTCTCTTTCCAACCAAATTCTCCATGTTACCCAAGCTGTTCAAATCCAACCACTGGGTTCTGGTAACCTTTGTACCCACTTGCTCAACCTCTCCAGGAGTGTTTGAAGCCGAGGGGTGTGTAGGAGGAAGCTGTTCGTATAGCGAAAGACCAATAGCTTGGATTGGAATATTAGGACTTCCGGGTTGTTTTAAAAACGATCGCAGAATACGCGCAGGAACATATCCACCACCACCAATAGCGATCATAAGTTGAGGTTGGAAATCTTCGAGAATGCGTGGTGCGGACTCTTGACAGAGTTTGTGGACCTAACAAAGGATGTCAGTGGTGCTTCTTTGCTCGGAGGGGTAATATGAGGTCAGGAGGGGCATCTTGAGCTTCTGTGTGCGCGCATACCTGGTTATAGGTCACATATTCTTTGACAACCATCTTTAAATATGATATGTGGTATTATTTTTATGTGATAAGTAGATCTGTGTAACTTGACGAAGAAAATATGAATCTATTCCGAGATTTTTTTTTCTATTGAACTTAAACACCCGGAGTTTACCTAAAAGTCGTGAAAATAAAATTATTCAAAAGTTCGTGATCCCAGTGTCCGGGGAGTCACTGGTCGCATACAATACCGTGCTAACTAGCTAGATAAACTAGCGGACTTCGCCTGCTGCAGAATCTTTAATTTCACACCTGCTAGTTGGCTATATCACAGATGGTTGGTTGTATTCACTAGGTAGATAGATTTTTGCTGCCGGTATTGAATGTAGGATAATAAAGAATTCTAGTGAGTATATCATTGGATACCTAGCAGTATCAGTCTCAGTTTCTCTCTCCAGCCTTTACATATGGAACAATGATATTTTGTGTGCCTTTTATACCCCATTTTAGAGTAATTACTAGGCTTGCTGCGGTAATTCACGAGTAAAACCCTCATCTGTCATTTTTGACTGATGCAGTGTTCCCTATCTACTAGGTATGCTTTCCTCATTCCTTGTATCTCATCTATGTGATAAAATCTTCGTGAATCATCATGGCAATCGTCCGTTTTTAGGTAAAATACCACCTCGAATCGAATGCTAAGAGTTTATGTAAATTTTCTCCGACCGGTATATTTTACATTCTTTCATTCCTCATTCTAAAAGTCTCCTGCCAGTCATGACATCAGACAACACTTCTCAGTCTCTGAATTGGTAAAGAGGTAGATCATATTCGGGACTCATAACTTCGATTAGTGAGAGAACTCGGAAGTAATTCAGAACGATCACGAAAAACGCACTTATTGCTACTATTCACAGTTTGACACACAACAGTTTGTGCGAGATCTACAAAATATACATTTCTGATACATTGAACTCCTGACTTATTGCGTCCTTCGCAAGTTTGCCTGAAGCAGCTCCAAATCTTAATATTCCCCCCTATTCCACCACGGTAAGTGTCCGCATCATCGATACTACTACCCACATCTCCAGTACTCCCCTCTCCGAGTTTATTTCCCCCGCGATTTCCGAACACACTCACTTTTCCATCCCCCTAGTGTTGAAGACGATTATACCGGTCGTGAATTTTGTGGAATGGCTTTCAATTCTGGTCTCATGATTGGCTGCTTCTAAGCATTTGATTGTTTTGGAGATAGTTCTTTCTGTTTGCTCAATAGTCCGGGGCATACTATCGGCCATATGGGTGCGTTAGCTAAGGTAAAAACGAATCCAAGTTCGTACGTATTCAAGGGAGGTGATGCGTGTCATCACGGAAGCGAGTTTCGTCCTTCACCTTATCATCCTCTTCCGGAATTTCTCACACCAGCTCCTTCGTCGAGTTGCGGGACAAACTCTCCAGGTTCGCTCTTTGGGCCCCTTCTCCGTGGTAATGGCAGGAACAGACCATTCTACGCAATAGCACGAAGGGATGATGGAACAGCGATAGTGTATGATGTAGACGAGGCGGAGACAAAGATTGAAAAAGTTATGGAAATGGATGCATCGGATGAAGTATTACTTGTTATGGCACATGATGAAACATTGAAAGACGTAGTATCTTTCTTTCCTCATTATACGAATAGCTTTAGAGAAAGTGGAAGGGCAGAAAAAGGAAGATGGTTCTTTTTAAGGGATTTTATGGGGGCTGTGAAGGATTGAATACTATAGATTTTTGGTATATAATCAGTAGAGATATTACGTCAAAGTATTGTGAATTGCTCTCTTGAAGACTAAAGGACCAGCTCAAATTTCTATTTAAAAGATGCTCAGCAAACCAAACCAGAACTGGGCGCAGAGAATACTTGAGATTTCTGCTGATTCTGCTCAACTTCCTGCACATCTATCCAGTTCCAACACTCATTCCACTTACAAAGTTTCAAAGCTCTATCTAGATTGATACATAACAATTGACAATTGAGTTCGACTACATACTTCTATTCAAATTCGAAAGCACATCTTACCATTCACTCCTTGGCCTGTACTTCTCCCCAGCTCTCAAAGCCTCCTCAATGCTCTTACCTTCAAGGGAATAGATATCATCTTTATTTGAACTGGGATGTTTCACTCGCTTCCCTAAATCATGGTTCACTCTCTTCTCAAGAGAGAGAATATCCCCATCTTCAACAATCTCATCTCAATCCCCTACATACGCTAAAGATTGAGATCAGTCGATATCGCATCAGGTGATTACTTTTGCTCAATTCTTTTAGACTCTTTGAGTTCCCATCTATTTCTCGACTCGCTTGTCAAAAGCTCTGAGGATCTAAATTCGAACTTAATGAAGTGAAGAAGTTATCCACTCGTAATCACGTAGAATTCCTTAATATATGAAGAGAGAGAGAGAGAGAGAGGAAAAGAAAGTAAAGCACCAAAATCTTGCCGTCGGGGGCAAGGAGAGCCCAAAGTTGACAATGGCATTCTTAAATAAACGGGAATGAGGGTGGTGTTTGTGTGCGGGTTTGTATCGAGGGAATTTGGATGTATGATCTTCAAAGGTGGAAATGGTAGGTTATGGTTTGAATGTCATCGTGATGTGACAGTAAAGCTCACTACCTAATTTCTATCATGCTAAAATTTACCATTCGAACGTAGATTATGCAATGGTACATCTAGAATTCAAGCAAGGTAACGGTATCAAGTAAGCATATTTGTGCCCATGGATGCAAAACGCATGGCTATGTTTTATTCATACAGTTAGGTTCATTGTGGTCTACATCATAAGCGACTATTGTGTTATATTACAATCGTGGGATATTCGAGCTGTTCAAATCTTGAGCCTCTCGAAAGACTAAGGACTGTGGGATGACTTCACATAATATGCGGCTTTTGGTTTCTGAAGGATCGTATGAGATTTGATCAGGGCAGTTGGTTTGGTTCCAGTTGGTTTGTCAGCCTAGTACGATCTCAACCGTTGACAAGAGGAATATAGATAATTTGATATTGATTTGGGCTCACTCCACATGACTTCCGATTCCAAGGGCTGGATATAAACTTTAAGTGTGTGTTACCATTGGCTTCATAAAGACCTAGTGTTTCAGAATTGAGTGTGGTAGCACGAACCTGGGAGTTATTCTCCGAATATTCTTGGAGTCCATAGATGTGGGGGTTCGGGAACTATTTGATATAGATATATGAACTACCCCGCGCCCACGAGATTGGAGTGCGCAAAGAAAAGCCCTTGTATCCCGTCTCTCTTGTCATCCTGCTTCGAAACAGGTTTACTATTCATAAGGGAAAATAATTGCAGGCACCATCCTTATATTCCAGAAATATTCAGTGAACCAATTATATCAAAATGCTCGCAGATCTTTAAAATACTAGCATGGTCTGCAATCATCGACATCATGCAGTTCCGAGAAATCTTGATATATGAGTGCTCGACGTACATAGGGAATAAGTTTGAAGTATCGGAGACTTCTCCAAACTTGCAGTCAAGTGTTACACACGAGACTTGCATTCGGTAGGACAATTTATATCAAATATGATACCCCGCACTGGTGTGGTTGTATTGGTACCCAATATTAGACCTCCTTTAAGTATTGCTGGAAACTTTCTTTTGCATACATTATTCGCCAGACCTCGAAGTATCTTTTCAAACAGGTCTACCCTATGTCCATGAGTTGTGTACTTCATTTTCACAAGCCCGAAAGCTTGATAGTTATACAGAATGATCATGGGGATAATCTCATCAGGAGAGGCGGCTGAAACATCGGCAATACGCGGCACGCCAGCTCGTTACCCAGCATGAGATGTGGAGGGCGAATTGATAGAGAAGTTGCTTTCAAGGATGAGGAGCTGCTTCTTCTATCATTGCTGGTTGGTCGTCGCCACTGTTATTATCTATTTCTAAACATTCCCGCAGATTAAAAACCCAGCTCCCTAACTGAGTACAACGAACTGACAAGATGATAGGCTGAATCTCCCCTTGTGATGATGATAGAATAGATGAACTTGCCAATACTCTTCCGATGGCTTTTGATATACCAAGTCAGTGAGATATACGGCCCTAAAGCTTTCATCATAGCTCACAATAAACCTCTACTCACAATGCATCCCACTGACGAAAATGCGAGCGGGCCGCGATACTCAAAGATTTTCTCTATAAAAGATTGAGAGACATTTCTTTGCTGAGGCTTGAATGCTTGGCTTGGGCTACTACTATCGCCACAATGCGGCCATGCTCATTGACAACCCTCTACTCCAAACGCTTTACGAGGAACAAGCTTCGCGACTCAGAGTCAGTGATCATGAGACAAGATCACTGCTCTGCTTTATTTTCTCACCAATACTATGAGATTGAGGTAAGATGTATTGCACGTGGGCCACACATGCATTGCAGATTCATGATGTGATATTGCAAATGTGACAATTTGTTTCGAAGTGGCTGGGCTTGTCAGGTTGAGAGATTTAAGAGCTACTAGGTAGGTAGGTGGGATTCCGACAGGAAGGGCACAGATGAGAAATGCCACATAGCGATACCTAACCAATAGGAATAGAGTCTAGGCCCATTTCTGGATTTCTTGGGGAGTTTCTCTAATATTTTCTAGTTGCTGTACAGCCCCTTTCCACCGCTAAATGATGGTTCATTCGGTTAGTTCTCATTGAACAAGAATGTACTGCTCATTTAGCAGACATTTGAAATAATTTCACTGGTTCCTACTCGAGTAATTGTCGATAATTAACTGCTAGATAGATCATACTTCTGGACGTCGTCGTGATAACAGATAAGCAAGGGTCTAGAAAGTCTCCAAGACTCCACTCCGTACCTGTTCATCTCTGACTTTGTCCACTCTTTCTTGGGTTGTAACCAATACAATTCGTGGTAAGCCTTACGGTAGGTGGTAACCGAACCCCAGAATCCCCCGCCATTTCAACCATTCTTTTCTTACCTCACTAACACACATTCACTCCAAATTGGCGTCAATTGTCAAAACAGACTATCAATTCAAATCAATTCACTAACAAACTTACACTGATGATAGGATTTTGACCTCTGCCTCCAATCATAATGCTTCCAATCCTCAAAAATGGATCCTGCAAGCCAAGAGCTATCATACACTCACAAACAAACATATCATTCAAGCTTAAGATTATCCTAGACCCTTGAATCTTGAGATGTTAAAAAGGTATGTCCCCTCATCTCTTTGTCAAAAGTACCTAATAAGATGTATCCATCTACTAATATACTTTGGTAGCTCAATAACTAAAACTTAGCTCACCTTGACGTCTTAGCATTCATATTAATAATTGACGACTTCGTCAAACATTTTTTTTCTAATCCTTCTGCCTTTCTAGCTTTGATCTCGTTCATCAAAAAAACTCCCTGATAACGACCATATTCTCTTCAAACCGCCATCATGGCGACTCTCACTACGACCCTGACTGAGTCGATCGCGACTGTCACTTCGACGATTGCGACTACCGTCAAAGCAGCCAGTAGTACTGCCAGCGCCACTTCTACAAATCGCGCCACCCCGCAGGGTGGAATTTTAGAAGGAGGGAACCCTACTGTCTACAATCCTTCAAATCCCATTGTTCTGTTTATCATTCAGGTATGCTGCTTTTTTACTGATTTGCGCATTCTCCTGCAAGCATCGATGGTGGAACGTATGGTCGTTCATGCAGAGCGCTATGCCGTCACTGCAGAGAGACCTACAGAATGTCGAATTTACACAATAAAATCCACTGCATAAACAGAACGACCTTTTGCGCATCATAAATGGATCTAGCTAATTTACGTTTGATTACAGGCAGGTATCATCATTATCTTCTGTCGCCTTCTTCACTACCCTTTGTCCAAACTTCGACAGCCTCGAGTCATTGCAGAAGTAATAGGTGGAATCATTTTGGGTCCTTCAGTCATGATGCGCATCCCTGGGTTTCAGGAAACTATATTCCCCGTTGCCTCAATGCCAGTTTTAAACATGGCCGCCAATCTCGGATTGATACTTTTTCTTTTTCTTGTTGGTCTAGAAGTTAATATGCGACTTTTCCTCGGTAACTGGAGAGTAGCCCTGAGTGTAGGATTGGCCGGAATGATATTGCCGTTCGGCTTGGGTTGCGCCGTTGCTTACGGTCTGTATAATGAGTTTCGACATGATCCGGGAACTGTCCCTATCTCGTTCCCGGTCTATATGTTATTCGTCGGCACAGCTCTTGCGGTACGAGCTCAAACTCCATATATTTGAAAAAATCACTGATATCCGCTATAGATCACAGCTTTCCCTGTCCTCTGTAGAATACTTACCGAGTTAAACCTCCTCGCTACACCCGTAGGAGTCACAGTCCTTGCTGCCGGAGTTGGTAATGATGTGACAGGATGGATTCTTTTAGCCCTCTGTGTTGCATTGGTTAATAATGGATCGGGGCTTGCAGCTTTATGGGTGTTGCTCGTTTGTGTTGGCTGGTGTCTTTTTTTGGTGTACGCTGTTCGTCCTGTGTTCAGGTATATTCTTCGCCGCAACGGAAGTCTCGAAAATGGCCCCTCTCAGGGAATGGTTGCTCTCACGATACTAATTGTTCTGACATCGTCTTGGTTTACAGCCATCATTGGAGTTCACGCTATTTTTGGAGGTAAGGTCAATTTGAATCATGTGCGAAATAACATTCGCTAACTTTAACCTTAGCTTTCCTCGCTGGACTCATATGTCCCCATGAAG